TAAAGTTTGAATTATTATTAATATTGTCGTTTTCCTACAACACTAGCAACTCTATAAAAGTGTCTTCAAAGAGTCAAAGCAGTATTGTGCAAGCTTATCTAGCCAAAAGTTAAGGAAAACCTTTTCCCCATCCTTTTCTGAAATTTCACATGGCTTAATTTTTTGACTTGTATTTTCCAAAGAGATAAAGTTCCCACTCTACTTGCCAGGCACCAAATTCCAAAATGAGGATGCAATACAGAAAGGACAGTCTGGGCTTGTCAAGAAACCAGATATGGCAGCCCCAAAGCTTTTTTGGGACAAAGAGCACCACATAACTTCCAATTCATTTTGTTTTGTACTTTTGCTTGAAACTTACCTGAATTCCAACAATTAGATGAAATGGTGTATTAAGAGAAAACCAAGCTCCAATTGCTCATCTGTTTATATTTGACCCATGAGAAATAAGACCAGCAGGTTGTAAGCTAGCAAGCACACAAGCAAGCAAAACAAATGGGTGTAATTGAAAATACCAGAAAGGGTGAGTTTCTCTTGAAATGGATGGCAGAGCTATGGTTGGCAGATTTTCCCAAAAGCACACTCTGTGATGAAATGGACAGGCCTCTTGTCTATAGTGAAAGGAAAGATACAGCTCATGTCACAGAAGACTCAAGCAAGAGCAGCCTTTGTAACTCAATGACTGTTCATTCAAGGTTGTTGGTGAGAATGAATCACTCTTATCGAGCAGTTCTGTAGAATAGTAAAAGTTAAACTGAAGAAAAGAGAAATTCAAATTTTGAAGTACATATTTTTCCATAATATTTTTACTGATTGTTTGGGAATTTTACATGATGATCCCTGAGCACTCTCAATTCCTAGTCCTCCCAGGTCAGGCCTCCCACCTTTGGGACCTCCCCTATCCCCCAAAAAATGATGAAGAAAAAGAAAAGGAAAAAAAAGGTCTAATTTGTTCATATACTGACTGAAGCATGGTGGAACTCCAGGAAACCAGTCCCTTAAAGAAAATTGAGTCCTTCCCCATCTGCACCCCAGTCAGAAGCCATCAACAGTGAAGAGCTCAAGCCTTCTACATCCCTCTTTCTCAACTATGAGTCTACAGTTATCGATACCATGACAAAAGCAGCTTCCTTGTCCTTTACTGTCAGTGACAGCATGGATCTGGACATCGGCATGGCCTCAGGTGACAGCCAAGGCCAGTCACATCAATACGGCCCCTGGTGGTAGCACTGCCCAGACATCAACATGGCTTCAGGCTGCAGAACAGACTGTGCACATCACATTGCCTTAGGTGGTAAAACTGGCCAAAGACATCAATAGACTCCCTGCTGCAGTAGGACCATGAACCCAGACATGGCCCTCGGGTGGCAGCAAGGACCTGGACATCACCATGGCCTCAGGTGGCAGTGCAGACCAAAGACATCAATATAGCCCTTAGTGGCAGAATGGCCCAGGGACATCAATATTGACCTTGTCTGCAGTGGGAACATGGACCCAGACATGGCCATTGGTGGCGGCACAAACCTCTCATATCAACATGGTCCTAGAAGTATGGCCCATGGTTATTATTATGGCCTCATGTGGCAGCCCAGACCAAAGACATCTGTATGGCCTTTGGTGGTAGCTTAGCCAGGGACATCACATGGCTCCTGGCTGCTGTAGGACCATGGATATCTACATGAGCTCCTGACTTCAACCCAACCTACAGCAGTGGACCACAGATACTAGAGTGGCCTCCAGCAGCAGCACACATCATAGAAGCCTTTCAAGGAGGTCTAATTCAGAAAATGAAGCATTCTTCATCTTGGGAATCCTGTCATTTCTCTGAATCAGGATGGTTGTAGGACTGGCCGTGTTTTGGGGGGCTGGCTGCTGCATACCATCCTGTCACGCCCACTTGGCAATGACATGCTCTTACATCCACTGCAGCCCTTTCTCACACCTGTCACTGCCATAGCGTCTCCAGATCCACCGCTCACTCACTGCCCCGTTCCTCCATCTTTCCCACCTCAGTATCATAGTCATTCATCATAGTGGCATTGGAAACTGCAGTGTGTCACATAGTATATTTTTTTGTCCAAACAGTTTTTCACGCAAATATTCACTGCAAGGAGTTGTTGGTTGTAGAGAGTCGTGCACGGCCGTGCCTCAAAGATGGCGCCGGCGTCCGGCTTCTGCCTTCCCGATGGCAGGTGCTCCTTATTTGGCTAAGGCTAGGATCTGACTTGCTTCCGCACACCTGGACCTAATCTGGCTTGCTTGTGTATGTCTGACCCTATCAGCGTTGTCCACGTGGCACTACGGGGTTGATTGCCCAGTGGCTATAAAGGGCGTGGACTGGCTTTCCCCAGGAGGAGATAGAAGATCAGAGTGAGAGTGAGAGAGAGTGATAGTGAGAGATCAGAGTGAGAGTGAGAGAGAGTGAGAGTGAGAAGATGGCTTTCCCCAGGGTCAGAAGATTGTCTCAAGGTTCCTGAATAAACTGCTTGGAGAAGAGCCTGGTGTTGCGTCTTCCTTGCTGGTCGAGGCGGACGCAATAGTTGGTCCATTCAAGGTTTCTGGTTTCTGACACACCATAAACACTGGACCATCGAAGAGACTCATCTCAGATATCCTGCTCTTGTGATCTTGTGGTTTGGCAGGGCATCTTGGGGCAGGTTCCGTGCGAGCTCAAGGCTGCCACACACCTCCCTGCCCTCTATGTCGATAACTTTGAGGCTAACCAGGCTTGACTTTTGTGCTTGTAGATTGCAGGCAGCACCACTGCCCCATATTCTCTGTCTCTCAGCAGGGCAGCCATAGCAGCTCCATGCTGGAGGCCAGCTGGTGGCCTAGGACTGACCCTATTCAGTAATGACATCTGGTTTTGCAGGACTGGTTCCTCCACTTACTCCAGCAGCTCTTGGAGTAGATGTCATGGTGAAATGACCCAAAGTGCTGGATCTGGGCCCAGATAGCAGCTGAGTTGGGCAAGTACACGCAGACCTGTCTTTGAGGTCCACAAGTGAACCTATCCTGCATACATATACACACATATTCATTATATATATATATATATATATATATATATATATATATATATATATATATATATATATATATATATATATATATGCAAGCCTTGTGATTCAGAATCCAAAGCACTTTAAATTAATTCTCTTTTATAAAATTAATGTTTTATTTTTTAATTATGTGCATGTGTCGGTGTGTGGGTATGGGCATGTGAGCACATGCACACTCGGAGACCATAAGACGGCAGGCACCAAATCTCTAGTTGTGGTGTTTCAGGCTATTGTGAGCCAGCCCACATGCCATGTCTCCAGTTCCTTGACATGGCTTCTTAACCCCCTCATGTGTTCTTTCCCCATGGATACGAAGCAAATGGGTTCCAAATAAAGAAACTCTCTTATGTTCATTTACCCCATGAGCAGAGGGTCCATGTTAGCTACTTTTCACATTGCTGTGACCAAATATCTAATAAGAAGCAATGTAAAGGAGCATAAATTTATTCTGACTCAATGTCTAAGGAGACAAAATGAATCCTGATGAGAAAACACGGAAGTGACAGAAATGGCTATAGCTGTAATGACTGCTGGCTCACATCTTAAAGGAACAAGAAGTAGAGACTGAGTAGGAAGTGATGTCAGGCTGCAAAACTCAATGGTGACCTCTTTCTTCCAGCATGTCCCAACCTTCTAAAAGTTCCATAACCTCCAAAAATTACTAGTATTAGTACTAGCTGAGAACCTAGTATTCAAAGACTTGATTCTGTAGCTATTTTACACTCAAATCATATTAGACCAGAGTACTCAGTTTGAGGTTACAGAGTGATCAGCTGTGATATATAGGATAAGAGAGCACACAGTCGTTTATGTTGTGACAAAAGGGTGTTGTAAGGAGAAGCAGCTCAACCCATGGTTTTTGTATGTGGCCAGCATGGCCTCTGTTTTGTCTTATCCCTAGCCCATTTACCCAACTGAAATAATTTTCTGATATGGCTTTATAACCACAGAATTTAAGCAGTGTCAATAATGTGTTTTGCTACAATCTACAGGGAAGGAGATCCTACTGTTAGGATAGGAAAAGTCATTTCAAAATGAGATCTCGAAGTGAAGAATTCTCCATTACCCTTAACCTTAAAGACAGACCAAAATAAAAAAGACAGATCAAAATAACCTGTATGTTGTCTACATTTTCTTTTCATTTACCAACAGATTAGAAAAGAGGCTTGATCAAAAATGAGCAAGAATGGAAAGAAAGCAATTTATGAGAAGGATGCAGCTGTCTAAGCTACCAGCAATGAGAAAATTAAAGGAAAAGGTATCCGGATATAAAAGAATTTATAACAAAAACATTGTAATAAATGGCAAAGCAATTGATGGTAAGAACATAGGCGTGGATTAACCCAGAAAATGTGGAAAAGATGCAGAATTTTCTCTCATTTTAAAACCAGAGTGGAATTCCTCTGATAAAGAAGCATTTGCAACTCTGGGCTTGTGAATCAAATGTGGAAAAACAAGTCACTACAGGCAATCGTTTCCAGACTGAGCCGGTTGAGGAAAAGGAAGATGCTCCTTAAAGTCAGCAATCTGTGTCCTCTGCACTGGGACAGAGATGTCTGGGCTCATTGGAAATGCTCTTTTAGTGTATATCATGATGAAATCACACTATGACACCCTGGAGAGACTCAAGAAACAGTTCCAAGTGCTCAGCCCTTCAAATGCTTGGCACAGAAGAAAAAGAGCAGTGAAGATCATGCCCATGAAAAGATGTTCCTCAAACCTGTCTCCATTTCTGCCACCTCAGAAGGAAAATTTCACTAATTACTATTATTGTTCTGAAGAAACAGCAAAAGGTTCCCAAATAACTACAAGTTATTTCAACTCCTTAAATGCTTCATAAACTCATCATAGTTAACATCTTTGGATTTTGTTACAATACTTATAATAGTTCCAAAGTAAAGGATTTGTGACTACTGTCAAGCACTCATAGTGGAGACATACTTGTTTTCTACATTTATTTTTGAACATTTCATACATGAGTATTCTATTTATATAATTTTAATTCCTCCTCTTTCAAGTCCTCTCATTTTGCTCCCTACTCCCTCTCAAATTCATGGAATTTTCTTTTTTAATTATTTGTATACACACACACACACACACACACACAGAGACAGAGAGAGAGAGTCAGAGACAGAGAGAAACAGAGAGAGAGAGAGAGAGAGAGAGAGAGAGAGAGAGAGAGAGAGAGAAGCCTGTTGAGTCTATGTGGTACAACTTGTATGTAAGTATGTATGTGTAAGGTTGATCACTTGGTTGGACAACCTACAGGGATCTTATTTACAGAGGAGGACTAATTTTTTTTCTTATGGCCACCATTAATTTCCTATAGTTCTTGATTTCGTGGTGCAGCCTTGCAAGATTTCCCTCACCTATTTTGGCATGCCAGTTGGAGTTGTCATTGTTCAGGTCTTGTTTAGATGATTGTGTCATTGGGATTTCATGAGTACAATTTCCCTGTAGTATGTAGAAGATACTATCTCACAGCAGACATCCTGGTCTTTTGACTCTTACGATCTTTCCATCCCTTTCCTTGATGTTCACCTTAGGTGAAAAGGTTGTGTTGTAGGTGTATCAGCTGGGGCTGAGAACCCTACAGTCAGTTTCTTCTCCATTTTGAGCAGTTGTGAATTTCAGTGATAGTCTCCACTGGACACTGAAAAACAACAGAAAGGATATTTGATAACTATACTTCTCTATGAATATATGAATACGTATTTAGAATACAGTTAGAAATTATACTGGTTTAGGAAAGCGGCAGTAATAGGTACTTCTCTGGGGACCATTGCCTTACCATTCATGGGAGTCGGCTAAACTTACACTACCAGGCAAAAATGTCTCTCCTACTGAGTTGGTCATATACTTTATTAGATGATTTTTGGTTACACCAAAAAACAAGTATCAGTATTATACCAATTTTTATGTCTTGCCATGACAGGCATTGTTGTGGTTTCTATTTTACACCATATTTGGACTATTGCCTTTTCCCTTGGTAGCTTGCATAGCACTTTCACATACTATGATAGCTAGTCCTCAGGGAGGAGGCTTCCAAGTCACCTTGATTCTTCCAAGTTCTATGTTTGAATCATATGTTGACTTTTCAATAGAGCTTTATCTTCCAATTCTGGAAGGCAACTAAGGGTAACAGCAAAAGGCTATATTGTTTAGGGAATCTCTTAGACTCCATTGATTAACAGTTCAAAGAGAGGTTGCCCATGCTCTTGAAACTGGGTTTTCTGTTAGATCATCTATGATAATTTTGGAGAGCATTATCACACCAAGTATTTTAATTTTATTCAATATATACATATATATGTATATATATATATATATACATATATATCTCCAACTATACACACAGACACTCACATGCATATAATATGTATTTTTTCAATAACATAAGACAATACATTTCTCCTTTTCTTTTTTTGGGTTTTTTTTTTTTTTTTTTTTTTTGAGACAGGGTTTCTCTGTGTAGCTTTGTGTCTTTCCTGGAGCTCACTTGGTAGCCCAGGCTGACCTTGAACTCACAGAGATCCACCTGGCTCTGCCTCCCGAGTGCTGGGATTAAAGGCATGTACCACCACCGCCCGGCCATTTCTCCTTTTCAATCATTCTTAGTGTTCTTTATTCTTCCTCCTTTCCTCTCCCTTTCTATGACCCTCCCCCTCCTCAGATAAAGCCCACCCCTGTGTTTTTCTCATTTTCTTCTTCGTAGCACCTGTGTCCTAATATTACCCTCTAAAGCTCTTCCTCCCTGCCTCGATCCCTTTTTACTTTTAAGGTTTCTGCAGTTACTCCAGGTTATACACTCACACCTAAAGATTCAGAACCAGCATCTACAAACAAGAAAGAACATGTGGTGCTTATGTTTTTGGTTCTGAGTTATCTCACTCAGTAAATGGTCATCCTACTAAAAGGAGCTACAGATCCAACACAACCCCAATCAAAATCCCATGATATTATTCACAGAAATAGAAAAAAAATGTCCTAAATTTCATATGGAACCACAAAACACCCTGAATAGCCAAACCAATCCCGTGTAAAAATAGCAATGTTGGTGGGATTATAATACCAGATACAAGCTATATTGAGTAAAAACAGCATGTTACTGGTACAAAAATAGACATGTAAATCAATGGATCAAAATAGAACATCCAAACACGGATACATATGACTGCAGCCATTTTGTATTTAACAGAAATGCCAAAAACTACAAACTAGAGATAAAATAGCATCTTCAACAAGTGATCCTGGAAAAACTGTATGTCACATGTAGAAGAATAAAAACATTCCTGTACAAAATCAACTCCAGATGGATCAAAGACTTTCATGTAAAAGCTGAAATATTAAAACCACTAGGAGAAAACAAAGGCAGTACCCTACAAATCAAAGATATAAGAAAGGGCTTTCTGAATAGGATTCTTAAGTATTAAGGACAGTGATTGACAAGTGAGAATTGATAAAACTACAATGCTTCTGTACAGCCAAGGAAACAATCAAACATGTGAGGAGGAAGCCCACAAAGAACCTTGGCCAACTGTCTAGTGGATAAAAGAGGAAATGTCCAGAATACACATAGAACTCAAAAATCAAAGAGGGAAAAAAAGAAACATCCCAATTTTAAAAATGGGCTATGGATCCAAACAGAGAGTTCTTAAAGGAAGAAACAAAAATAGCTAGAAATATCTCAAAGGGCATTCATCGTTTTTAACAACTAGGGAAATGCAAATTAGAGCTACTTTGATATTTCTTCTAACCCTAGTCAGAATGACTAAGATCAAGAAAACAAACACGAACCAATGGCTGAGGGGTCCCCAACTGGATCAGGCCCTCTGAATGGGTGAGACAGTTGATTGCCTTGATCTGTTTGGGAGGCATCCAGGCAGTGGGACCGGGTCCTGTGCTCAGTGCATGAGTTGGCTGTTTGAAACCTGGGGCCTATGCAGGGACACTTAGCTCAGCCTGGGAGGAGGGGACTGGACCTGCCTGGACTGAGTCTACCAGGTTGATCTCAGTCTGCAGGGGAGGCTTTGCCCTGGAGGAGGTGGGAATGGGGGGTGGGCTGGGGGAAGGTGAAGGGGGCGGGAGGGGGGAGAACAAGGGAATCAGTGACTGATATGTAGAACTGAATTGTATTGCAAAATAAAAAAAAAGTGAACTCAAAAAAAAAAAAAAAGAAAGAAAGAAAAGAAAACAAACGACAGCAAATGCTGGGGAGGATGTAGGGAAAAGGAAATCTTCCTGTACTTTTGGTAGTCAAACTGGTTCAACAACTCTGGAAATTAGTGTAGAAGCCTCTTAAAAAGCTAAAACTATATCACTCCTTGGTATGTACCTATAGGACTTAACATCCACTCCACAGACACTTGCTCAGGCATATTCATTCCATTTTATTCACATTAGCTACTAAATGGAAACAACCTAAATGTTCTTTAGCTGACAAATAGATGACGAAGATGTGATAAATATATACAATGGGATACTATTAAGTTATAAAGGAAAAGGAAATCATAAAATATGGTGATACATGGGTGACATAATTTTTTAAGAATTGTATTTTTTGGAAGGTAATGCCAAATGTATATGGATGTACAAGGAGTTTAATTGGTTTATATACATTAGTACTAATAAAATAGTAATTTATAAAACTAAGATTTGTTATTGAACTTTTAATGCTCAATTTGATTAATGAAAATGGTATATTTTTACAATAATGTCCACATGTTATGCTTCATTACATTCATGACTATGCCAAAATACATCAAAAATTGTTTTTTATTAGTTCATTTTAAAAAGGATCAAGAATGATATTTGTTCTAGATGGCAGGAGTAGTAAGTTGTAAGTTTAAGAGTTACCTTTGGGTCACTTTCATTCAGTTTGTGTTCTGACTTGGATCTTAAATGCCAAAAGGGCTCATGTGTCACTTAGGCCCAGGTTGGTGCCACTGGGAGGTGGTAGAACTTTTGGGAATTGGAGTCTAGTAGAAGACTGACTCTCTCCTTCTATCTCTCCCTCTCCCTCTCTCTCTTCATCTCACCCCTCTCTTCCAGTCCCTCTCCACATCCCCTTCCATCTCCCTCTCCTTTTTCATTTCTCCCTCCTCCTCCCCTCTTCTCTCCCTACAGGCCACCTCAGTGCAGGCTTCTTCATTGAGTACCACAGCAGCACAGGCCCAGTTCAGGAGGACCTAGTGACTATAGAATGAAAGGTCTGAACAGGTGAACAAAAATAAATCCAGTTCCTCATTCTAAGTTGGTTTTCTCAGGTAATTTGTTACTGAAACACGAACTGATTAGGAGATACTGCTACACAAACATTGAAGTGTTGCATCCTAAGTTAAATTTAAAGATATTTTTAAATCACATATCATAAAGAGTATATGAAAAATTATCATGGACTCCATTATCTTCTTCTTCCTATATAACAATGCATAGTCTTTAATATTGTATGAAAAATATTTTCCTTTTATTTAAAATAGATTTTTTCTCACATAATATATCCTGATTATGGTTTCCCCTCCCTCTTCTCTCAGTTTCTCCTTCACCTCTGTTGCCATCTGGATTCACTCTTTATCTGTCTCTCATTTGAAAACAAACAGGCTTCTAGGGGATAATAACAAAATAAAATAATAAAAAACTACCACATCAAAGAAAAATAGAAAAAAATAAAGTGTACATATAAATGTGAATAAAAGAAATTTTAATATGTGAGTATGTACCTACCTAGGGAATATACCTACCTGGGGTAGAAAGTCATGTGCATTTTGCTATTCCTCAGTGTTACAAAGTAAAAATATGAAAACCATTTGAATCTTAAAATACCAGTGTACTTCAGTATCACAGACTGACTTTACTTTTTTGAAGCTTGTCTGTGTTGACAGCTGCAGATCAAGTGTGCCTATCCCATTTTGACGCTTTCGAGATATTAACTGACACACTGAGCACATCAGCTCTCATCCTAAATAGATCTCCATCAGAAGCTTTTCGACTAATAAGTCTACAGCATCTTGGTGAGATAGCATGCCCACACTTCCAATGACTCAAATCCAGACTTCTCATATGGCATGTCTATCTGAAATCTGGATCTGAATATGTGGTCAAATGCTATTGTATCCATCAACACCATGCTTTAATTTCATAACATACTATGAACAACTGCTTAGTCCTGAATATAATGTTTTCTGAAATTTCTGTAGAATGAGAAAAGTTATATATGTGTTTCTCTTCAGAATGTTAATCTTTCTCCTGTTTCTTTCAAACCTATTTTTATTTTGAATCAACAAAAGAGATAAAGGCTAAATAATATTTCTAAATGTCTTTTTGGCTACAGTTGTCCATGCCAACTTTATCATTGGAACTACTTAATGCTTAACAATCTTCATATTACTTTCTACTAAGTCAGACACAAGTGGATTATAAGAGTAACTAAGACACACACCAAACTAGAAGTATTCACAAAAATAACACATCAATATCCTATCTAAAGTAAAAGGGAGTGATTCTTTGTGTAATAGAGTTTGTAGTGAGGGATACCACTTGAACATCAATTTGGGAATTTTTGCTTCTTTGTAGAGGGCAACTCATCCTTTATCTTTGAGGATACTGAAATGCTTTAGCAAGTAAATCACACATCAAGAACTGTATGAGTCCTGAAATTCAGAAATCTTGAGATGGTGGCACAGGAATCCATAGAAAACTGTGATTCTCAATGAATCAAAATAAAAATATAAAATGGCTCTCCAATTAAAAAATTCAGTTTTACATTTATGTCATCATTCAATAATATAATTGATACTATTAACAAATTATACTAGCTGATTGACAGTTTATAATGAAATTAAATGTTATAACCCTTCTCTCAATGGGTAATATAATCATAATTTCTAAACTAATGATACCAACTATGTATGCTTATTTTCAATTCATACGGCATGATCAAGACAAGGTCTATAAATAACTTTTAATACTATTTTTATGTACTAATCAAAATGAAGAAGACATCAAAAACTTATATTAAAAAAGTAGCCCCTATTTACTATATCACACAGTCTTTAAATAAATTCTGAAAACATGTTGGAGCACTAACTACACAAAACTCACTGTGTTAGGGTATGACCATTATAAATAAGTCATTTTTCTTTTCAAGAGGCTTATAGTTCTGCTGGAGAAACACAAATACTCATAAGACCCCAAATTAAAATAGCATCAATTAACACAATATCTCTTGTTGTCTATAGAGCCAGAAATGGGAAAGAATGGTATGCTTACTTTATCTTTATAGAGATCTGAAGGGTAAAATTAAATTAATTCCATTGAAAAACAGATAATGATCAAGAACTTGAGAATCAGGTTTGAGGTTCTTTGTTAAACTCATGACCCTAAGAAGGAGAACAGTTCCAAAATATAATGCTTACATTTATATTCCAAAGGGAGCTGTGCACACAAGAGAGTTAAAACCTTCAAGTCTTTCACATTGTCACAACTGTCCAACTGCTGGTAACTCTCAATGAACAACTTCAACACACCTGAGTAGCTCTTAGCTTACAGGAAAGAAGCAGTCCTTGGATAGCCTTAGATTGAAGTGCTCACTTCACGTTAGGTGAGCTGGTGAGTCTGTCATGCTGAATTCAATGTGTGAAAGCACTTGTATGAGGTCAGGATACTTGTCGTCTCCCAAAAGTGAAGAGCCAACTCCGTGTGTTCTGAAGTATAAGAGCTGAGAGAAAGAAAAGCAGGCAACTGGGTCATGTTACTATGGAGAAGCACAGAGCAAAGGTGATACCATTGCATTCATGTATGTCACTTGGGGGCAGATTTATCTTCTTATGACATAGTGGTCCTGGACTGAGTTTAGGAAAGGATCTAAGTACTTCCTGGTGTGCCCACTGAGAGGGGAATAAAGGATGGCTTTGTGGGAGAAACATCCCCTCAAATATAAGTGGGTTGGTTATCCACCATGTTTTACTCAACAACCATTTTGTATAATGATACAATGATTTTATAAAAGAGACAAAACAAAGCCCAGATATGTTAAATTCAAACCAATCAGCTTGTCTTTCAGACAGGTGAAAGAGACATAGATATGTGACAAAGGCATGCTAAGTGAATGATTTCCCTCTGCCTACATGTACCATATTGTTAAAGGACAATAAGTTAACTATTTCTTCTCCCCACTATAGATTTGGGAACCTATTTGGAACACATACATAGTTATGTATATGTATAGAATAATTTGAGAGTAATGTATGAAGTAATCCCACATTGAATCTGCTGCCGTGTCAGCAGCTAGCCATAAAGCACACTAGATAATATGTGGACCTTGTTCTTTGGTCACTGTAGTGGGTAGCCATTCCAGCTTTGATCTGGAAGTTCCAACCCCCATTGAGACTTCGGCAACTGTCACGCCTACAAGGCGGGGCCAAGGGAAGCGCCTGGAGACCCGAGATCTGGATGGGCCAGCACTCTCTCTCTGTTCTGGGACCCTGGACGGTGGAGGTGGGCCAAGCAGAGCTCCAGAGAACACCGCTGGACTGCGATACACCTTCCCCAGACCCCATGACCTACCTATCCCTTAATTTGTAAGTTATGCCATTAAATAAATCTCCTTTTAACTACGTGGAGTGGCCTTAATAATTTCACCAATATCTGGTGCCCAACATGGGGCACAAACCCACGACCCTGAGATTAAGAGTCTCATGCTCTACTGACTGAGCTAGCCGGGCTACTTGGCCCACCTCCACCATCCAGGGTCCCGGAACAGAGAGAGAGCGCTGGCCTATCCAGATCTCGGGTCTCCAGGTGCCTCCCTTGGCCCCGCCTTGTAGGCATGACAGTTGCCGAAGTCTCAATGGGGGTTGGAACTTCCAGATCAAAGCTGGAATGGCTACCCACTACAGGTCACAGTATTGTACGTGACTAATAAACAAATTGCATTTTTCTTCATTTCCTTTTTAGAAATATTTTTCTTGCATTTCATTTTGAATCATTTCCTTTTGTTTGTTTAATTATTTACTTTTTGTTTGTTTTTACAATCTAAGTAAAGTTCCCCTCCCTCCTCTCCCCCTAGTCTCTCTCCTTCCCCTCCCTTTCCCACCACCTGTCCACTCCTCCTCCTCCATTTCTCTTCAGAAAAGGGAATATCAGCTATCCATGGTAGATGATGTTGCAGTGAGACTAGGCACCTACCTCCTCTTCTATTAAGAGTGGATGAGGCAATCTGGTAGGAGGAAGAGTCCCAAAAGAAGGCAATCCCAGAAGTAGACCACAGTACACAATGGTTAACTTACATGCAGAAGGCCTAGGTCAGTCCCATGCAGGCTCTCTGGTTGTTCATTCAATCTCTTTGAGCCCCTATGAGCACAGATTAGTAAGTTCTGTGAACTTTCTGATGGTGTCCTTGACCCCACTGGCTTCTACAATCTTTTCCCACTCCCCACCCCCACCACTCTTCCACAGGATTCCCTAAGCTCTGCCTAATGTTTGGCTGTGGGTTTCTGCATCTGTTTCTATCAGTTGCTGTGTGAAGCTTCTCTTAAGACAGTTGAGCTAGGCACCAGTCTATGAGTATAGCAAAATATCATTGGGAGTCATTTCATTGACTTTTTTTTTTGCCAGTTGTGTTTGGTTCTATCTTAGGTCTCTAGGATATCCTGCCTCTGGGTCTTGGCCCTCTAGGCAGTGACAGGGGTGAGCTCCCTCTCATGGTATGGGTCTCAGGTGAACTAGTCATTAGTTGGCCACTCCCACATTTCTGTGTCACATCTACCCCAGCACATCTTGTAGGCAGGACAAATTGTAGGTGGACAATTTTGTGACTGGGTTGGTGTCTCAATCCCTCCACTGGAAGTCTTGCCTGGTTACAGGAAATGGTCGGTTCAGGTTCTGTATCCCCCAGTGCTAGGAATCTTAGCTAGAGTCACCCTCATAGATTGCTGGGAGTTTCTGTTGCACTAGGTTTCTAGCTCCTCCCAGACATGTCCCCAGATCCCAGTTGTCTCTTCTAGTACTCTCTTCCTCCATCCTCCCTCCATCTAATCCATTTTTTTTTCATTTTGTAGACCTTTTCCAGTGTATGAGCCATCATGGAAGAAACCATAAAAATAATTTTTAGAGTAAAAAGAGAAACAACTTATCAGTCTCCTTTTCTGAATACTTAATAGTCATTAAGTACTCATATTACTGTGGGAATTGGACATATATATTTGATGTCTTCCAGCAGTCACCTGGTCTAGTCTTGCCCACCATCTTATTATTCAAAGGTGACAACTGGCTGAAACTTTCATCATCATGTAATTTACAGCTTGAGATAGTGCTGTGAGATGTTCTGTATGGCAAATGTGTTGCTCTGATTAGTCATTAAATAAAACACTGATTGGCCATTGGCTAGGCAGGAAGTGTAGGCGGGACAAGGAGGAGAATAAAGCTGGGAAGTGGAAGGCTGAGTCAGAGAGACACTGTCAGCCGCCACGATGAGAAACAGCATGTGAAGATGCTGGTAAGCCACGAGCCATGTGGCAAAGTATAGATTTATAGAGATGGATTAATTTAAGCTGTAAGAACAGTTAGCAAGAAGCCTGCCATGGCCATACAGTTTGTAAGCAATATAAGTCTCTGTGTTTACTTGGTCAGGTCTGAGTGGCTGTGGGACTAGCAGGTGAGAGAGATTTGCCCTGACTGTGGGCCAGGCAGGAAAACTCAAGCTACAAGATAGGATTTCAAAATTGAATAGACAACATCTCAATGTGCTATAAGTATGTTTAGTGATCACTTGTTATCACTGTGTAGAAAAATAAAAAGAGCCATCTCTCAGCTGAGAGAGAGGGCAAGTTAGAGAGGATCAAGCTTTTCACCCTCTTGATTTATGGTATGACAGAATCCCATTTGTCTTAACTTAGGAACTTTTCCTATAAAGTATGTTACTACAAGGCTATTTAACGTTGTTCAATACATTAAGCAGCTTTTCACTTCTAAACTTCTAAGGCCTATTCATAATCAGACATATCCGGGAAAATGAGATGACTAATGGTCTGGGGCCTCAGGGTTTGCTTTCTTGTCAGAAGCTTCAATAGCATGTCTTTAAATGTTACTCATTACTTAATGAAGAAACATCAAATAGTTGTTAATGTTCTAATAACATCAATGTATGCAATAGTGAAACAAAGTGTAAAGCTGATGAGAGGGTATCTGTGGAAATAATCACAATGGAGGCTGAAGAATAAATCACCAGTTTCTCTCAGCCTTAAACTGTAAGGTTCCACCAAATAAATTTGAAGCAATTAAGGAGTAAGGTTGATAGAAGAAAGAGAAGATCCACACCACCAGAATAGCTTACATGAACTGTTGGCACAGAACAGTGGCTGAAGTATGGCCATCACAGACAGGGAGGCTCTCCATTTACCCACCTGGAATGTGTCATTTGATTTCTCAAAGGAACATATGGTATTTTCAACCAACATATCCAAGAAGCTCCTGAAATTCTACCTATTATTTCTGGGGTACCCTTGCTATTTGACTAAAGAAGTTATTTATCTGTAATTTATTAGCTTTCTAATTATTGTTCTTCAGTGTAGGAAATGAAATCTCATTTGTGGTGACATGGGTAGATCTAGGGGATGTTGTGCTAAGTGAAATAAGCCATGTATGAAAAGACAAACTCCATATGATATTACTCACAAATGGAATCTGAAAGAGTGTACCTCATTGAAATTGAGAGTGGGACTAAGGGTTCTCTGAGGCTGAGTAAAGTGGAGAGAGGGGCCAAAGAGAGGTTTTTCCAGGTGCAATGCCTTAGTTCAACAGAAGGAACAATTCTGGCAAATACAGTGAGAGAGGCATGACTACAATGAGACTAGTCCTTCTTAAATTTGGGGAGTGAACAACACACAGCCATCCTTGGGATACATGCTGGGAAAAGGTTTCTCAAAGTTCACTTTCCTACATACTTGGAAGACATTTTCTAAGGAGAAATGGAAAGAACAGAATAGAATCAACATGGTAAAAAAGAGGACTATGCAGCTCCTCTGGGCTCATCAAATCAGTCCACCATCATCATCGATTTTTTTTTCAGAGATTTTATTTTTGCAATGCCCACATTATCAAAACTATCAGGTGAATATAATATACTCTATAGAGTACTGTGTCAGAGGAATAGGTAAGGTAATAACAATTTATTCTCAAGGAGTAAAATTTCCCATCTAACATGAGTCACATGAGAAGCCACCAAGCTTCCTTAATGTGGAGGCCAACAGGTGCAATGATACCACCACAGGGAGCAACACACCCAGCTGCAGAGAAGCTGATGCAGAGAAGCTGAAGTCACGGGAGGACAGGAGAGACTTCTCTTCAAGTGTACAGATGTCCATTATGTTCACTGTTTTGGGAGCAGTGGGTGTTTTTAACAGCTTACTAACCTTTTTAAGCAAACATCACAAATTCAATATCTAGAACAATTCTTTTAATGAATTAAATATCACTATCTTAAAAGAGTGAATTTAGGTTACAGCCAATCAGAAAGCCTCATGCTAGCTGCAATTTTTGACTCTTAGCTATTTCAACTCAGTGCTACTTATTTTATGGTTGAAAAGATGGATGGATGTTCATGTCATACAGAAGTGTATCTTTTTAGAAAGGGGACAACTTGGATTTTTTTTCATACAAATTCTTCCAAGGAAAGGGCCAGATGGGATTTGAATGAGAGAACAGAGCAAACAGGAAATTGGATGTCAGAGGAACAAAGGGCCAAGTAGAGAAAAGTTCAGAGAAGTTACTCAATGCTTCCACCCCAAAGCTACACATTGGGGCTTTATCACAACTAAGTCTTTGGGGATTTGCCTGTCACCAGACAGTACTAAGCACACTGTTTCTAAAGGAAATCTTTGTTCTAATTCCCTACTGACAGGAAAAAGCTTCTGAGTTCACTCAACCCTATCTTCATCCTTTACAAAGAAAAACTATAGAAAGAATGGTTAGATTCCCAGGGGCTCTCCTTATTTAACTAGCTCTACCTAACCAGACAACTGCCTAAGACTCCCTCCCTTCACTCGCTACAGCACACAGCAAAAAGCTTGCCTCGATGCTTTTATTTTCTTCCCTTTGGGGTTCCTCAAAGTAGAAGTGTCCCAGAAAGGAATCCTTTGTAACTGGGTCACCTAAGTGATTGATAAAGGGGCAGAAACATTCCAAAGATAGAGTGGCTATTGCTCCTTTTCCTCAACATGACAACAGTGCAGAGTGTCTGACCCAGATTCAACTCGTGGGAAGGTAAGATTGTCAACCTGATACTAAAACAAAACAAAACAACAAAAAAAATGGAAGCATTTCTCATGTTGACTCTCATAGCAGAGAGCCTCTAACACACATTACACAAGAGAGCAGATTGCAATAAGTCTGCCCTAAAAGCAGTATTGCCTCTACATTATTTTATTAAAAAAATGAGCATTTACTTAATTTTGATAAAGTTCAAGAAGTATATTCATTCTCAAAATTCCCAACCCTATCATTTTTTTTTGTAGTCCTCTGTAGTGGAAATTTTTGGAACTTTATCCCCAGTTTTGTGTTTACTGCCCAGATTGTTATCTCACCAACAGCAAAACTGAAGAAATTTCCCCAAGAGTATTTCTGGGTTTGGAATTAGAATGATTGCCTTCTATTCCAATGATCATAACATTCTCAGCTCATATATATGAAGTAGGATCACTACTTGTGGGCAACTGAAAGTGCCTCTGGCTCATTTTAATAGAAAAATATTTACTGGAAAAGTAATTAGGCTTGTAGACTCTACAGAAGGATGAAGAATCAGATGTAGAAAATGGACTAATAATAAGAACTTCATAGAAATAAAAAGAAACTGGATAAAGGCTCTATGATGACAGTTAGGGTATTTACCAATCTGATTACTGGAGTAGGCCAGTTGAGGCACCCTCTCAACTATTGCTAGTAGTCCTGGAAACTTCCCTAGCACCCTGTTTCTCCCTATTCCCCTGATGTCTCCATTTATCATGTTATCTCTTTCCTTGCTCTCCTACTCTGTCCCTTTTCCAGCTCAAACCTCCCATTTCCTTATGTTTTCATCACCTATCCCCTACCCTCCATTGCCCCCCTTATGCCCTGTTTACTCATCTAGATCTCATCTATTTCTCCTTAGGGAACCAGATGCAGAGATCTACGGCCAGACACCAGGCCGAGCTCCAGTAATCCAATCAATGAGAGAGAGGAAGGGTTCTATGAGCAAGGGACATCGAGATCATGATGGGGAAATGTGCAGAGATGGCCAGCCCAAACTAGTGGAAACTCATGAATTGTGGACCAATAGCTTTGGAGCCTCTATGGGACTGGACTACGCCCCCTGGATAGGCAAGACAATTGTTTAGCTTGAATTGTTTAGGGAGCCCCCTGACAGTGGAATCAGGATCCATCCCTGGTGCATGAGTCAGCTTTTTGGAGCCCAGTGCCTATGGTGAGACACCTTGGTGCAGTGGGGAGGGCCTTGGACCTGCCTCAACTGAATGTACCAGGCTCTGCTGACTCCCCATGGGATTCTTTGCCTTGGAGGAGATGGGAATGGGGGGTGGATTGGGGAGGGGAAGGCTGTGGGGTGGAAGGAGGGAGGAGAGGGAGATCTGAGGTTGGTATGTAAAATGAATAGAAAATTTATTTATTTATTTTCTTTTTTTTTTTGGTTTTTTGAGACAGGGTTTTTCTGTGTAGTTTTGGTGCTTGTCCTTGATCTCGCTCTGGCCTTGAGTACTGGACCAGGTTGGCCTCGAACTCGCAGAGATCCGCCTGGCTCTGCCTCCTGAGTACTGGGATTAAAGGTGTTCACCACCACTGCCCGGTGAAAATTTCTTAATAATAATAAAAAAGAAATAAAAAAACAAGATAATTGCCTTTGAATAAAATGTTCAGGTAGGAGGTCACTTCTGCCACAGAAAAACCAACCAACACTAATGGGCACTGGTCACTTTCCTTTAGATCTGGGTACACATCTTCAGTTTTCTTCCTGTTTGTATGACTGTTGTCATACAATCTTTATGGGATCAGTAGTGCCTACATGTGAGAGTCCATCACGAGCCAGCCTGTGAAGTGTTGGCATTCTATTACAGAAAGAGGGGTTGCGAAGACTGATGGGACACTCACCTGAGTGTTCAGCCCCATAGTAGGGTGTGCCTACCCATGACTTTTACACATAGCAACATAAAACAGGGCAGTAAAATAAAGACACATGTGCTATAGCCAAAGAAAGATGACACTGGCCACTGCATGCCTCGCCTCTGCAACAGAATTGACTAGTGTTTTATTGCCCTGCAAATGTCTAGGTTACTTACCAGAACTGATGAAGAGGCCTTTGTGTTTCTCTTCTAAACGGGTGTTTTGTTTTTGTTTCTGTCTTCTTGGCTGCAAGGTGACAGGGAGCAGGTGATATTCTTCAGTCAGCTGAGTTCTTGGATGAGAGAAAAGGCAGGGCTTGCAAGATCTGTTCCAGGCTGGCAGTGGCTCAGACATCCCAAGACTTTTCATTGTTTTCTGGAGAGAAGTTTTCAGGAACTTTAAAGCATTTCTCAGCTTTGATTTGGTCTGCAGCTCAGAGCACCTGTGAAGGGACATGCTTGCAGGAGAAGAAGAAGAAAGAAGAAAAATAGGTCAGGACTGGTTATAGCATAGTTTTGTTTTCACAAAAGTGAACGACCACCAAGTATAAATATACAAAAAGTGAAAAATATGAAAAATGTATTAGCTGTATTTCAAGGAAAGGACACTGGGTCTACAATCCCAATTATTACATGCTCTGGGGATAGTGAATGTAATTGTTCATTTTTCAACGCTCTAGGCTGCAATTTAGTTTTTATCTGAAAAAAAATGTATTGCTTTTATATTTCTTCTCTCTCATGGCCTGAATAATGGAGGTGGGAGACCCCTAATGTTAACAGGTTAGTGAAACAAAATCACCTTGGGAAGCAAAATCTGTTTTTATTTTAATTTTAATAGTCTACCATTTTTAAAGTAAAGGGTAGGATCTTTCTGTCTAGGCTTTTTCTTCTTATTTATTTGTTGGCATAAAGAACTGCAGTCCTGTAATATGCTCAGCAGGTAAAGACTCTTAATCTCAAGCCTAAGAGTGGAGTCCCATCTCTGTGGTTCACATGGTAGAAGGAGAAGCCCAGAGCCCAGGTGGAATACAATAGAAATAATAGCAAAGGCTTCACCTCTTCCTGGAATTCAACCCATTCTCCTCCCTTCCTAGGAATAAATACTTACATGGAAGGATTGATTCCTCCCATTTGCAACATGAGTGTTTTAGATTCTCACCACCCTGGCTCTCACTCTCTTGTCCACTAAACATTGCATTAGCCAGCAGAGAACACAGGAACAGCCAGGCCTGCTCTCTTACCAATTTTCGGAAACATTGTAAGTACTTCATAGATCGCAAGAGTGTACTCTTACTCGGGTTCAATTTGGGGAACAGAAAGCATTGTTTAGAAGAGGACCTAGTAATCCTTCAAGGAGCCCAGCTATGGACCAACACTAAGAGCACAGAGCACAGATCCACCCTTCAGTCTGAGATTCTGATTCATTACCCAAGGTGAAATATGACAATGAGTGCTTTATAACAGGAACCGCAAAATAATTCCACACCTGGCCTGCAGACATTCCAGTAAAGCATGACCATTAACCATGTCAGGAACTGCTTTCAGAGAAATCAGTAATGTTTCTGTGAGGAATTTCTTGTTTGGAAGAAAGACACTGGACAGGTTTTATAAATCCTTCTATGAGATGCAAAGTAGTGGAAAGAAAATGAATTGGAAATATAGAAATGTTGATTGGGACTTAAAAGAGAACTTCATGATCATCAATCAGATCACCTTAATAAAACACACCATCTCTAGATTTATCTAGAATCATGGCTACTTCCTTTAGAAACTATCTCTAGATGTATCTGGAATGATGGACACTCAATATAGATACTATCAGTGGGACTAAAGTGAATAGGCAATTATTTATCATGTATCTTACAGAGAAAATTCACTTTGAATATAACTTCCTCATGATGTAAGTCTTTGTTGCAAGATTAGAAAAAAAATCAACTAGACACTAATGCATTGTATTTGATTAGCTTAATTTCCCAAAGCAACTCATCGTATCTCTCATAGCTTATACTATGAAATCTTGAAAGTAGCTTTCACAGTCAATAGGACTGCCAAAATAAAGTAATGACCAACGATATATAGATAGATTTATACCCAAAATAAGGAAAGGGAGACAGACATAGAGAGAGAGAGGGAGAGAAATAGAGATAGAGAGATAGACAAAGAGTACCAATGGTGGGGTGAGAACATTCCGTCTAATAAGAATACAGACTATTCACCCTGTGGTGGTATTGTGTTCCCCAAAATATTGTGTACCCTAATAAACTTATCTGGGGTCAGAGAACAGAAAAGTCACTAGATACTTAGGATAGGCAGTGGTAGCACATGCCTTTAATCCTAGCATTCCAGAGGCAGAAATCCATCTGTTCAAGGATACAGCCAAGCATGGTGACTCATGCCTTTAATTCCAGAAAGCGAGCGTTTAATCCCAGGGAGTGATGGCTGAAAGCAGAAAGATATATAAGTCATGAGGGCCAGAAACTAGAAGCAATTGGCTGGTTAAGCTTTCAGGTTTTCGAGCAGCAGTTCAGCTGAGATTCATTCTGGATGAGGACTCAGAGGCATCCAGTCTGAGGAAACAGGATCAGCTGAGGAATTGGCAAGGTGAGGTAGCTGAGGCTTGTTCTGCTTCGCTGACCTTCCAGCATTCACCCCAATAACTGGCCATAGGTTTGATTTTATTAATAAGAACTTTTTAAGATTCTTGCTACACCTCCCTGTGAATGTAGCCATAAATTAAAACACACGGAGCAGTGACTTGACTCTAGGAAGAAGGTAGGGTAGAAAGACAAAGACCAGGATTCAACATCTCACCAATTGAAGGTAAGTTCACCATTATTTCCATTCAAATTCCATTTCTAGAACTCCAGATGGCCTCAGAAAGGATTACTGGAACACAGGAGTCGAGAAATAGTTTAATTCTGGCTCAAGGAATGCTGAACAGGTTTCTGAATGTTCAAAGTCTACAGATCCACTGACTTCATCTTTCCTCTACAATTTGATGTCTCCTCATCCTACCAATCCTAGGGCTGTGGTAGCATTATTTTTCCTCTTTCCCTCACTGTACCCTTCTTGTTGTGTGAATATGGTCAAGAAAATTCTGAAGCAGAGCGGAATATATCATATCAAGCCTCAGAATTCTGGCCAAAAGGCTACAGGAAAAAAATAAGAAGAGGAGAGGGAGGGAGACTGAAAGAAGGGCCAAATATTGAGAAGGTGAAGATGCAGGAGATGGAAGAACAATTTGTTTCTTTGCATTTGAGCTGTGCATACCCCCTGCCTTGCTGACACCTTCAACCTGGGTGGCGAGTGCAGACTCTGACAACTGAACTAGGGGACAGAGCATACATAACCCAGTCCCACATGGCTGCATATGGCTCATGTGAGACAAATTGGAACCAAACTGCAAAGTGTTTGAAAGCCAACTTAACCACAGGAGTGTGATGGAAATATGTGACCCGAAACAATTCAGCCAATTACCACTAAAGCACAAGTAACATTCTTTATAGGATTTTAGAACACTTGGAGACCAAATGGAACAATCAAAATCTTTACATGTGAGCACAAGCAATTCTGCTTCCATAGACCTTGGGATGTACTCATTTGAAAATGGAAAAGAGAAGGAATAATTGCTGCTACTGAGATGACGATGATGTAGATTTTGAAATTATTTAATGATGAGAATGGAATGACAGCAATAGAAGATAGAAAGGAGTAAATGGAAATTAGTAAGATAATGTAGCTCAGTATAGCATTACGGTTAATAGCAGACTGACTGGGGCCAAAGGAATAGTCAGAAAGTTGGAAACACAAGAATAAATTCTACTCATTTCCCATAGCAATTACCATCAGGAACTGACCAGAAGAGCAACACCAAGAGGTCTACATGTATTTTCAGAATGGCAGAAGAATGTGTAGTGCCAAAAAAAAATATTTACAAAATTAGCTTTAAACTTCTCAAATTTGGTGTAGGCTTCTCTGCAGAAGATTTAGCCTAAATTCCAGGAGAAGGGGCCAGATGATAAAACAGAAAACAAGCCACAGATATTGTCTTACCAATGTTAAAATTACAGTTTCTGGGAATACAGAGAGAAGCTGCTTTCATTTATTTTTTTTCTCCTGTGTTTTTCCATAACTATACCTGCTATGGCCACCATGTGATAGCCTAAGCTTAGTAGTACAGCATAAAATCTGAGAGGCTGGACTTCTTACTTCATAAATGTCTCAATTCAGGTTTCTCTTAGACCTTTCCTGTAGTATTCACTTTCATATTTCTGGCCATATTAAGTCCAAGACAATTTTTACCAAAAGGCACAAAATGGAAGCTTTTTGGAGCTTTAATGAGTTTCAGAATATGGTTTTTTTGTCTACAGCCCCTTGATGATTTATCCTCTCTGCTCACACTTTATAATGGCTTCCAATGAGGGAGGAATGAGTCCTTACTCCACATCACCCAAACTGGATCTTCATTTTCTAAGAGTAACCTTCGTGCAATCACATTTAAGACAATATATATGTTTGAAAAATAATCGTAAAATACTAAAAGTTTCTTTTGCATTTTTAAACATCACCATAGATGACTGAAATAATAAGTCATTGTTTTGTGTTTACAGGTTATTCAAAGAATTCTTGTTTAATTATTTTGCTACTCACTCTTACTCCTCTCATTGACTATGTGTATAGAAAAACCAGAAGGAATTTTACTTGCATCCAAGATAATCACCATTATCCACATTTAGGAACTCAATGAATTTGGGACTAGGGATGTAGCTCAGTTGGTACAGGGCTTGCCTAGCGAACTTAATGCTCTGCATTCCATTCTCAAACCACATAAAGCAGATGCAGTGATGTGTCCCATGACAGTAATCCCTATGCTCTGGAGGTAGAAGGATCTGAAATTTCAAATCATTGGGGATCACCCTAGTCTACATAGTTAGACTGGGGCCAACCTAGAATATATGAAATCCTACTTAATGAAAAGAAAAGGAGGAAAGAAAAAAAAAGGAAGTGTCCCTAAGTATATATATATATATATATATATATATATATATATATATATATATTCCAGATTTAGTCATGATTTTGAAGAATCATGATATCAGTGACCCTTATGATGGAAATGAAGTTTCATATTACAAATATATCTCACTGTGATTATTTTATCTATTAGTTTGGTAAAGGTTTATTTTCTGTTTCTCAGGATCTACCTTTGAAAATATGGCAGCCCAGAAGTTAGGTAAAGCTTCTGTTACCCTATTTGAATATTTGAGTAATATGAGCAACACAAAAAGCATAACAGATCTATATTACTATGTCCCTTAATTATTCTATGAATGTATCTTGCTATCACAAATCTTTACCAAAGGACAGGAACAACATAAGGGAAAGTTCAGTGCCATTGCAAACTTCATGCTCTAGGATTTTTGCTTTCATACTTGTTAGTTTTTAAATCAACTTGTCATAAGCTAGAGTCATTTTGGAAAAGGAAACCTCCATTGAGAAAAATTCTCATTTCAGACTGGCCTGTGGGCAAGCCTGTAGTGACTGATAGGGTAGGCTCATCCCACTGGGGATGGTATAGCCCCTGGGTGGGTGTTCTTTGATGGCATAAGAGAGCAGACTGAGCAAGCCATGAGAAGCAAGCAAGTAAGCAGTGCTCTTCCTTGGCCTTTGCTTCATTTTATGCATCCACGTTCCTGTCCTGACTCCCTGGGACAATGGATTAATACCATATAAGGTGAAAGAACTCCTTTCCTCTCCAAGCTCTCCAAGTTTTCTTTCTTGCTCCAAGTTGCTTGGTGTTTTATCACAGCAATAGAAATCCTAACTAAGACATCAACTAAGTGACTTTAACACAGCAATATGGATTAAATATGAAAACCCTAGCTAATTGAGCATGATGCTCACTGTGAATGTTTTGCTTAGAAACATTTTGCAGATTTCCCAAGTATGAGCAATGATGCCAGATTTACAAAAAGGCTGAAAGCAACATGATAAATGCAGTCTTCTTTTTAATGCTGATTTGGATTCTGCTGTTTGAAGTTAATAATTATACCTTTTATCTTCTAAAGCAACGTTTTAACTTTAGGAGCTTGAATCGCATGATTAGCAGAGTTTGGCTTTTCCCAGGTGGTTTTTTGAATGCAACAATTAACATCATATCTGAAAAATAAAACTTGGTTGTTAAAGAGAAATTCATTTTATTTATCCATTTATATATCATTTTGGTCTCTTTGGACCACGTAGTTTTCAGTTCATTTGTGAGGGTACAATTTACTCCTGCTCTGTGATGGTGGGTGCAGTTAGTATCTAGTTAATACTGATTCATCTTCATCCACCTGGACTGGATTTAGAACCATCATGGAAGCATACTTCAGAATGTATCTATAAAAGTACTTCCAGAAAATTGTAACTAAGGTTGGAAGACCCACCCATTTGGGTGGCACCATCCTTACGTAGGTGAGAAGGAGAAAGCAACCTGACTAGCTGCTTCATGCTCATATTCTTGAAGGACCATCTTTCTAGCTCTTTGGATTGTAGCCTCAACGTACAACTGAAAACAAACCTATCCTCCCTTAAGTTGATTCCTGCAGATGCTTTGCCATAGCAACAAGAAAAGTAGCTAATATTCTAGGCTTCTCATTCTAGCTCCAGCTTGCCTAGAACTCACTATGACGCCCTGGCTGGTTCCAAACTCAATCCAATCCTATTGTTACTGCACCGTATTTTAGGTGTGGTTTACAGGCTTGAGCAAATGTAATAGGCTTGTTTTATTAGTCTGTTTTTCTTCCATTGTTTAATACCTTTCTCTTCCTCCTTTTTACCATATCCCTCTTTTAATATACCTTAGCCCACACGTTCAGTTTCTCAGAAGATTCACCCAGTGTGAATATAAGTATACTTGCTTCTCAGATAATTCTAGGTATATGTCTTAGAAATTTGTTTCCAGGATAAATGCATTTATTTTTTTCTCTTTATTATTTTTTGAAGTTGTAATCTAATTACATAATTTACCCCTCCCTTTCCTTCCTTCAGGCTCTCCCATATACCCCTCTTTGTGGAAAATTTTAACAGAGGCTAGGGCAATTTCCTCATCTCAATTTGATGGGAAGTTTATTCCTATGTGAGTCCAAGAATGTGACTAGCCCTCACTTTGTATAAACACATCAAGCTAATTAAGGCTGGTGGAAACTACAAAAAAAAAAATCTCATTGGAATCCAGAAATCATAATCTCTCAGTTTGTTGTGAGGCATTTTTCCTCACATTGTATAAATAGCTATCATTTTTTAAAAAAAATTGCATTCTTCCCAGCCCCCAAGGGAGGATAGTGCCATTGTAATTATAGCACATTCTTCTGAGATTCATAACGAGGTATTATTTTGCTAATGGAATATTCAAGTAGTCTGTAGTAATTTATCAAATATTCTTTAGTCCCATTTTC